GATATAATAATAATAAGATTATTAGAGAGTTAATGTAACATGACCTTTTAGTAATAGTCCATTTTTAAAAAAATCACATATGAAGTCAAGTCATGACTTCTGTTTTAATATATAAGATAAATGCATTAAATTTTAAGATATAAACATCTCTCATTAACTTTGTAAGACCAAGTCCATCGGAAATTATAATGATGGGTTCCACACAAAAAAATGGAAAAAAATAAATGAAAAATGTAAAAAACAATAAAGAACCACGTCTACATGAGAAGGCTATAGAAGCAGTGTTAACCCCATACGTGGCGGGTTCAGTTTGGCTTGAGAAATGGTGACCACTTCTCTTCTCTTTTCATCTCGGTTCTTTCTGTCTTCGTCTCTCTCTCTCTCTCCGACGATTTCTCTCTTCACCATCGATGCTTTCGAAATCGATGTTGATCGGTTTCTCCATTGACAATTATGTCTCTTTCTCGTTCGATTTCGTCGGTTGGTGAATATCTTTGTCCTCGATTTTGTCAAAATCTCCAAGGGTAGATGATGGTTGATCTTTTTCTCCCTTCGTCGGTCTTCTCCTCCAGAGACGTCCATGCAATCACCGTGAAGGTTATGTTTCTTTAATTTCTCAGAAGTTCATGAGAATTGAGGTTTATTTGATTAGAATCAATTTTTTTTTTTACTATGTTTATCTTCTCTGTTTGTATCTCATATTACATGAGCAGAAGCTTCCTAACAGAGTATATTTCAGTGTTCTAAAGTTGTCTTGTTTTGTTACTGTGGTATAATGCATGCTCATAAAAGGTTAATAATTTGATTGCAGATGTAAAAGCAGATGGCAGAGTTGGGAAAAGAGAGTGATTTTGTTCAGTCCCGACTTGAAAATTTCATAAGATTCATTACCACCATCAGACGATAAAAGGTATCTCTTCCTCTTTCCACAATCTACATTTTAGATTCATTTTTACTCTACTTATTATAATGATGATCTTTTTAATTCTTGCAGGGAGTAGATATACTGAAGGAGCAGTAAGAATTGTATCTAACTTGATCAAAGCGGATGAAACATCATCAAAGCTTTTCATGCGTGTAAGTATACAATCCTTTAATGCTTGTTAGACATAGATTATGTTGGAATTAAATGGACATAGATTAGGTTGGTTAGTTTAGTTTTAGGTAGAAAAAATAATTTTGTTGGTTGGTTTAGTTTTATTACAAACATTGATTGTCATTAACACGAGTTGCTTTTAAAACCGAGCTACTCTTCCTCTGTTATTTAATATCTTGAAACCGAACAAGCTTTCATATCTCCTTTTCCTCTGTTATTCCATTTTATTTCTTCTCCTCCTTCTCCTCTCTGTTAATTGAATTCAGTTCTATGGATCATTTTCGAATATTTGTAGCTTCTAAAGACTGTTAATTAGTCAACAACCAAACAACTCCTTCCCCACTGTCCCTCCTGAACCTAGTGTAGAGATCTCTTCGTCTGATGCCTCTGCCTTCGATAGACCATGGTCCAAAGATGTAAACGACGATGAGCACACCGTCTCTGGCCGTAAAGCAAGGAGGAAGTGGTCACCAAATGAAGACATTGTGCTCATCCCAGCTTGGTTGAGCACCTCCAAAGATCCTATGGGTAATGAGCAGAAAGCAATAGCTTTTTGGAAACGCATTGTAGCCTATGTTGCATCAAGTCCAAAGCTTGTGAGACTACAAAAGAAGGAGACTAGTAACTGTAAACAAAGGTGATTGAAGATCAACAGGGTGTGTGTAAGTTTGTAGGGTGTTACGAGGCTGCTAGTAAACAGAGATCCAGTGGCCAGTCTGAGGATGAAGTGTTAAAAATAGCTTATGCTATATTTTTCAACGACAAAAAGGTCAAGTTTACACGCGAGCATGTCTAGTTGAAGCTTCTCCATGATAAAAATGGTGTGGAGCTCCTTCTAACAAAGACAAAGTAAGCTCCAAAAGAAGAAAGGTGGATGACCAGGCTGCACAGTCATCGACCTATGTGGCATGAGAAGATGAAGCTGGGCATATTGGTGTTAAAGAAGCAAATGCAAAGGGTAAAAGCAAGTCAACAAATTCAAAAGAGACAATGGAGTTTCAAGGTTTATGGGAGATTAGGCAAAGGGACTTTAACCTTACGGAGAAGCTTAACAAGCAAAAATTTCTTGCTAGCCTCATTGCCAAGACAGAAAATCTCACTGAACTTGAAGTCTCTTTGAAAAACAAACTAATAACTGAAATGTTGGGTTAATGTTAGGTCTGTAGTTTTTGGGTTTATCTGTCGGGTTTGTAGTTGTTTGGTTTATCTGTTGAGAATCTCACTGAACTCGTTCCCGTTGTCTATTGTTATGTTTAATATTTCAGGGCATGTTGTCTGTTGTTATGTATATTATTTCTTTTTAATGAAGATCGATGTTGTTGTCTACATTGTTTCTGTTAATGGTTGTTGTTCTTCTTCTTTTTAATGGTTGTTGTTCTTTTTCGTTTGAATAAAAATCAATGTTTTGTGTATCTTGTGATGGTCTGATGTATTGATTGTCTTTGTTTTATTGCAGTTGTCAGCATGGGACATAAGAAGATCTTGTGCTTTCAAGTAACCAATAAGTTGTTGTAACAATTTGACTTTATAAACTTGTGATATGTTTCACGTTTGTATTTTAACAACTTGTTTGTTCATGTGATCCAAACAAACAATAAATTGTTGTGACAGCTTGTCTTTATAACAACTTGTGATATGTTTCGTGTTTGTAGCAACTTATTTTCTTATATTTTTAAGTTGTGTTTTATTTATAAAACCAGAAGAACACGAGAAAGAGATACAAAGCAAATGCAACAAATAAACACTTTCTTTCTGATTTTTTCTTATTCATCTTCAACAAGAAGAACACGAGAGAAAGAAACAAAGCAAATCACATTTTCTTTCAAAGAAAATCACATTTTCCTTCGTATTTGTTTCTTAAAATTTACTAAATGGCATCTTCTTCTTCTAATAATAATTTCGAAGAAATGGATTAAAGATTCGATCAAATTTTTGATCAACAATTCGAGAAACTCCTCATTCAGAATGAAAATCGTCAAGAAGCATCAATGTTAAAAAATAAACGAGCCTACATTGAAAGACAACGAGAACAAGGACACATGCAGTTATGGAACAATTATTTTTGTGAAGATGCAACATATCCTTCTCACATGTTTCGACGCAGTTTTCAAATGAACAAACCCTTGTTTATGCGTATTGTTGATCGACTCTCCGCTGAAGTCCCATATTTTCAACAAAAAAGAGATGCTACTGGAAGGTTCGGTCACTCCGCGTTACAAAAGGCAACAACAGAAATTCGTATGATGGATGGTTGCCCAGCTCATGCGGTCGACGAATACCTCTGACTTGGTGAGACCACCGCGCTTTTATGGTTAGAACATTTTCTTCAAGGAATCATAAATTTATTTGAAGATGCGTATCTAAGAAGACCCACACCATAATATCTTCAACACTACTCGATATTGGAGAGATACGCGGATTTCCCAAGATGTTAGGAAGCATTGAGAGTGGAAAATTGTCTGACCGCATGAAAAGGTCAATATACATGTGGATCAGGAAAACCAACAATTGTTTTCGAGGCTGTAGCTTCACAATATCTTTGGATATGGCACGCGTTTTTTGGACCTCCACGTACATTAAACGATATCAATGTTCATGATCAATCACCAGTTTTTGATGATATATTACAAGGTTAAGCTCCAAAAGTTAAATACATTGTCAACGGACACGAGTACCAATTGGCTTACTATCTCACAGATAGTATTTATTCAAAATGAGCTACTTTTGTCCAATCTATTATACTTCTGCAAGGTCCGAAAGCATCCTTATTCGTTACAAATCAAGAAGCTGTAAGTAAAGATGTCGAGCGTGCTTTTGGGGTCTTGCAAGCTCGATTTTCCAAAAATCCAGTTTCTTTGTGAGATAAAATAAAAACTGGAAAGATAATGAGAGCATGTATCATTCTACATAATATGATCGTAGACGACGAACGAGCTAGATACACTCAGTTTAATGTATCAGTTTTTGTACAACCAAAATCATACTGAAGTTCTCAAGTGGATTTCTATATTTTACATATATACCTTCAAATCTTGGTAATATTGATGTAGCAGATCAATAGGTTGAACGGTCAATCAAGGAACCCTGGGGTTCTTAGAGACTTGTTCTTGGATCAATCAAGAGTTTCTTTCGATAGCTTATTGAGACCAACTTCTTGAAGAAGATGAATTTAATCGAATCTTGTTCAATGCAACTCAAAATAAATGAATTGAATTAAATCTATATAAAGGTATAAAAAATCTTCTTTTATTAATTACCAAAGTCTCCATACATTGTTAGGCTTGAATGCATATTTATAATAAAATCTTAAATCTAGAAAACCCTTATCTTAGTTAAAATAGAAAAATTATTAAAATATTAAAATACAAATAAAAGGTAATTAAACTAATCAATAATAAAGATATTTGGATAATTTCCAAATATCTTGATGCATATATGATGAGCATTCAGAATCGAGTTCGTGATAAAAAAATATACCAACAACTGAAAACTGATTTAGTTGAGAATATTTGGCAAAAATTTAGAACATTTCAAGATTTCAACTAATCGATTTTTTCTAGTTACGAGTTGTATTTGTATTTTTAATATGTTTTTATGTCATTTTTATTTAAATTTTATGTATGTTTTTTTAAAAAATCATTCTACTTGAGAAAAAAAGGAAAAAAATTAATTTAAAAATTTCATAGAGATTCTCTCATTAGAGAAAGAAAAATTAGTTTACCATAACAAAGATTCTTAACTAATCAAATTATCTTATTAACCATTAATTTAATTATGAAACCCATTAAAAGTTCTAATAGATGTACATGCTCTAAGTTCGTATCTCTACCATATATAGGTAGCATATGTCCTATTTATGAAAAACTTCGAAGGAGATCTCGAACAATTAATGTGGTCGATCAGAAAACAAATAAAATATGACCTCATAGTACTCGGTAAAAGTATTGGGAATATGCTTCCGACAAAAGAAGAAAAACTCACACGCAACACTTTACCATATTAACAATTTAATAACGGTTAATTAGATTATATATCTCACATTAGAGTCTTGGAGATGATAACGTTTTATTCACTGAGCAACAGAATAACTCGTTGAGACGGTTCAACAACCATTGAACCTGATTCGTTACAACTTTATAAAACCACCACTAAACATAACTCTCAGTCTCTCGACTACTTACTACACATTGTCAGCTAAGCTTCTACTCTCAGTCTCCTCCACGTCTGCAACCCCAACGCTACAATCCATCGAGTCGAATGTTAAATCAAGCAAGTACAACAAAGAAACAAGAACGCAACAAGTTATGAACATCGGGATGGGACCAAAGATCCATAGGAACAAAGGCGATGAGAAGTAGAACGCTCTTAGTCCTAAGGACCAAAAGTAGCTCCCACGGTTAACCGTTGCAGCCACATAGTCTTGATTTATCATTAGACTACCACGATTATGACCACCCGCAGAAGCAGCCATGAGTTGTTTGAAAGGGACATTGATGAGGATGCTTGCATGGCTGTAATAACGTATTGATTGGACATTGAGAAGAAACGCCACTAAAAAGCAAACGAGGATTGAGAAAAACTTGATCGAGAAGGCTTTATCGCTTTTGTCTCCAAACACAAACCAGACCGATCGTTCTCCTGTACCGCTGGTCATCAGTACCGCGATTAGTGAACACAACATTATCGCGGTTGATGCCAATAGAGTTGACGCCATTATGTTGTTTCTTAACGTTTGAACCGCTAAAACGCCGTTCTTTGAGGAATCCTGTTCTCATTTGTTGTAAAAGGACATATATTAGTTGTAATCGAATTGTGTACTAGAAAAGTGAAAACCAAAAAGATGAAAATATTGGTGGAGGAAACAAAATGTGTTTTGTTTTACTGTAAGCCAGCTATATTTATTTAAAGTCTTCCCAAGAAATGCAAAGCATCTTTTCAGTGTCATTTAGCTTTCACACTTGAGGACTCATTAATTAAGGAAATTTCAGAATCTACATTTACGTACAGAACTTTTATCTAACTTTTATATTCGCATATATGAAAAAAGAATCTCTCGTACAGAAAAATAAAATAGATATATATCAGTTTAACAAATTGTCGAGTGGTTTGGCGCATGCATGATGATTATACACATTACACACACATAAACACATAAAAATATGCTCAGATTCTCAACCTCTCATACTCCAACGCGGAAGGAACTGAAACAATTAACTTATTTTCCCGAAAATATCTACACATGCACATACACTTATCATCATCATATATTTTTCAAATGAAATATTCATCATTATCTGTAAACAGTTAACACTATATGCAATTTATATATTAGTATAATAAACATACATCCACACGTGTGAGAAGGTAGATAGATATACACGGGATTCTCCTTAGTTATCCGAAACCCTCAAAAGATATAACAATGAGCTAAATCAAAACTTTCATGAGAAAAAAACTCTTTAATTTTCCGGTAAAATACTCATCAACTTATGCAGAAAAAAATATGAAGAGATCTAATCTATGACAAAAGGAAATAATCTTCTTAAATATGTAAATAAATCAAATAAAAATATGATAATAATTAAGAAAAGGAAAATACCTCCATCATGGCTTGGACCCAGAGGCGGCGGTTGAAGGCGTTGAGGCCAACCACGGTGGACGATGGACGGTGGATAATGCGATGGAGAAGCCAGAGATGATAGAATACCATCAAACCCATCCCTAGTGGCACCAGTATGTAATCCAAATACTCAAGCTTCATTTCTTATTCGATCAAAATTCACACAAGAAAATAATAAATAAAAGAAAATGAAGAGAGATTGAGAGAATCAAAGTGAAGTACGGGTCTTATGTGGATCGTTACGTATCTAATGCGCTTATGCTCCCCTCTCTCTCTTTATTACGTTATGTACTTCCCGGATTCTCAGCCGTTTCCTCTCACTCTTACCCTCCTTTTATAGATTTGAACCTTTATGTATACACGCGTGTATTAGTGTATACGTATATACATGCGCAAACCTCCACTTGTAAACAACGAACCCTCGCTGTTAGGTTTTGACCGTGTTTTGACAATGTTTTTTTTACCAAAACATATTTAGAATTTTTAAAAGTATACCAATACACGTTTCAACTAATTGAGTTTATATTCTTTAACCAAAAACAATTGGTTCCACTATTTGACGTGTATTGAATACCAAAATGCTCTCTCAGGTTTTAAGGGCATTTAACCATCAAGAAAAAGGAATCTGTAACTTAAAATGCAATTTAAGACACCTTCCTTAATTAAAGTTTGTTGCCACCATAAATGTTATAAAATCATTTAAGCTTTCAAGTTGACATTTGAAATCAGCGGAGATATCAATGAATTAACAAGAGAAATTGTTGATGTTTTGTTACAAATAAAAAAATGAAAAGAAAAACGGTGCGTAAATATAGTATAATTCTATTTCTACAACTATCACTCCAAAGTGTTTTTTTTTTCATTCGCAGCTCAAAAGCGTGATTACGGATTCAAATTTATTAATGGGTGTTTGTGAAATGTAGGGTAACTAAAAATAAAAATAAAAAATAAAGTGAAAGGAGCAAATTGATGTCGCTTTTAATTGAAAATGAGGAAAGAATGAATTCTGAGGAGTGCAAAAACTTTCAGAGCATAATAGGCCCACTAAAAGATCCATTGTGACGTCTGCCTTTACTTCACAGCTGATTTGGCACTGGTATATTCCTCGATGCTTCCCCACCAAAACGATGTTGCCAGATTTTTTTTTGCTTCAGTGCAACAACTCAATTACAGAATTTTTAAATACTTTAATAATGGATATTAAAAGTTTATCACAGCATTCAAATATTATTAAGGTTTAAAAAATCTACAAGCATCATACATGCCATAATCTTTAATGCAAGCACATTAGCCATAAGTAACTCGTTAATAGTAGCAGGCTGGAAAACAACTCTTTTTTTTTTGGATTTAATCTTGGGATATCCAAACTATAGAAAAATACAGACTACTCTCGCACGGATAAAATTTCATGTCAGATATATCAACGAGCGTAATTTCTTGAATTCAACTTTTATGGTGATCCTCCGATTTACCAATAACATAATATCCAATTAAAATTTACCAACTCATTCTATGTTTTTAAAATAAAAAAAATATAAAAAATAAAATATAATATTAATTGTTACAAAGGAATAAACATTTTAACGTTATTAACATTATCAATAGAATTTTAATTTCTAAAACCTAAATTTTAGGGTAAATTTTGAATCCTTTGGTAAACCATAAACTCTTAAGATAAATTATAAATCATTGGATAAATCCTAAATTTTTAGATAAATTCTAAAATTTTGGATAAATCCTAAACCCTTGATAAATCATAACTTTTTAGATAAACCATAAACCTTTAGATAAACCCTAAATCTATAGGTAAACCCCAAATCCTTGATTAAACCCTTAACCTTTGCATAAATCCAAATCCTAGAAAACACCTATTATGGTTTATCTAGGATGTAAGATTTATCCAAAAATTTAAGCTTTAGCCAAGAGTTTAAAATTTGTCGAAAAGTTTAGAATTTATCTAAAGATTTAGGATTTATTAATTTAGGATTTAGAATTTAGTTTTTAAGATTTATGGTTTTATTGACAGAGTTAACAACCATAACTTTTTGGCAATTATTCTAATTATTTATTTTATTTAATTATTTTTAAAATCATAATATAACTTGGTAACTTTTTATTGGTTATATTAGCGGTGAACTTAGATATTCACCTTTCAGAAGTAAACCTAAGTATAACTCTTCAGATAGATATGACCCGTGTGGTCACAAAATAAAATGTAGTGGGATGCTACGAATCCATGTTGCTTAACAATTCTTGTAACGAGCATTATGATTATTTTATTTTTCATAAGAAATGAGCACCACAATTACGTATGTTTAATTAATTAATCGGTAATATCTTGATTTTTGGTATATGTAAAAATGTTTATGATTTGACTATTTATGTCACTAAAATACACTAACTTTTTCCGTCACACATTCATTTAAAATTCTAAAATTAAATGTGTTTGAACTAGAATAAGGAAATGATGGATGATCTATCGGAAAGTGATTAACAATACAGTGTGAATGACACTAAAACACGGGAAAGATCATATAATAACTAAATGTTCAGTAAACATAATTTCCAAAACCTCCAAAAAAAAAATCACTACATGTCATACAAAATGCAACCTATAGGCTGAGATAACAGACGTAAGAGATCCATCAACAGTGGACGATCAGAATGTTACATAATCATTCACATTTCACAAGTAGATCTTATCTTGTGTTACAACGGAAACCTTATTCAGTGATATACATAATATCTCAAAAGTTTGCATTGTTCTGACTTCTAAATATAAATAGGTTTGAACTTTGAGATCATTTGTTTTTTCTTGCAATCTTGGCTACATATATCACCCGCAGTTTAAAAAGTAAGGAAACTATTGCTAAGTACTTGTTTACGTTGTGGAACCACTTGCTAGAGAGTAGAGCCGTTTACTTGTCACTTGCATAGTCTTTCCACAACAACAACCACCAAGTCCTATGGGAGATGATAAGTAAAGGAAATATTAAGTTTAGCATTAAATTGGAGCCAGTCACATGTTACTGTCACCACTAGGGATTAAAGGCTATCGTTGACTTTTAATTTCAGAGACTTAATTGTCTGTTTAATTTCAACCTTATTGTTTGGATCTGTCTCGAACAAAGCATCCGTATAGACCGTACCTATATCTTCAAGCTGGTTTATCTTCGATTTCGATCAGGTTAACACGTGGTCGTATTCATAAACTGCCAACAAGCGTATAGGGCTACATACTTATTTAGAGCATCTCCAAAAATACACTTTTTTGAAGTTTCAAAGTGTTATTCTTGAAAAATAAAACTTCAAATCGAACTAAAACTATTTGTATTTTATTTTATGGTTCTTATATTTGTCATAACTAATATAAATTCATAATGATTTTATAAATAACTAGCACATATATAAAAAAACATAACAATAATATTAATTAAAAATATTTAATCTAAAATATAAAACTGTAAATAGAAATACATAACTAAATAATAAACTACAAAGAAAATATCATATTATTTCATAAAATTATTTCCATAATACTTCGTTTTCAGTTACACAATACTTATTTGTACAATATTTATGAGATTTTGAAAGTTTCAGAGCAAATTTACCCTACTATTAATATTGTTGTAATATTTAAATTTATGTAATAACTATGCTTTTCATTTACCTTTTTAAAATGTTTTTTTTTAGTTTATTTTGTAATATTCGTGAAATCTAATTTTATTTTTAAAATAATATAGATCATATTTTAAAGTTTTATGTATAAAACTTAAATTTTTAAAAACAAATCTGAAATATTTATAAAATATAAACATTTGAAGGATTAAAATGTTAAACGAGAAAATACTGAAAATCATAAATATAATATATAATTGATTGTAAGGATCAAAATGCAAATAAAAAGATGAAACTTCAAATTTGAAGTTTTGTGAATTTAAACTTCAAATATGAAGTTTCAGTCTTCAAAATTTAAAATTTGAAGTTTTGAAGTTTCTTTTTGGAGAACAAAAAAACTCTATATTTAGTGTTATAGAGTATCTTTTGGAGATGCTCTTATAGCATCTCAAGAAAAAAAAAACTCTATTTTGAAGTTTCCCAAACTCAATATTTGAAACTATAAAGTGTTTTTATCAAAAAAACTTCAAAACTAACTTTAGAATTATTTGTATTCTACACTATGTTCCTTATAATTTATTACAATTAATGAAAATTCATAAACTTTTATAAATAACTAAAACATATATAATAATATTATAATAATACTAATTAAGAAAAAATTACATTAAAATATAAAACTAGAAACATAAATACATTAATTAAATATTAAACTACAAGCAAAATGCCACATTATTACATGAAATTATTTATGTAATGCTCTCATATGTGATCAACTATTACATTTTCAAGTAAGAAATGACTCTCTTTATTTTTAAACACCGAGAGCAATATTTTCAACTCTTAGACATCATAATCTCTGAGAATGACTTCATTTTCAATAAGTTTATGTAGTGATGATGGCGGATCAAGTTCACGTCCTATTAAATTGAAAAAATCAAAACTCAAAAGGAAAATTACCGAAGATAATAATATGGCGGCTGATATTTTGATATCATCCAACGAACAAATCCTTGATTTTATAAAAGAAAATGCAATAAGCAGGGATAAAAATTCTGAGATGATTGAATTACGAATGAAAAATGAAGTAAAAAAAATTAGTTTTAAAAGAAGTAAAAGAGGAAAATAAAATATTGGTAAAAAACTTAGCTTCTATCGGTGATATTAATACTTGTGAGTACATTCGTTATGAACAAAAAATAATCATACCAAAAAGACGTCAAGAGCAACATGAACAACCATCTTCGGTTACAAAAAAAATTGTTTGAATTTGAAAATTTTAGAGCTTTCGGGAATCTACTCGATTATTAATATTGTTGTAATATTTAAAATTTTATAATAATTATGTCTTCATATACTTTACAAAAAAATATATTTTTAATTAAGTTCGTTTGTAATATTCTTATTTTCTAATTCTACTTTTAAAATAATATAAATCTTATTTTAAATTTTTTATTTAATTATATGTGTAAAGCTTAATTTATAGAAAAAAAATTGAAGATTTGTGAGATATAATTTTTTAAAAGATTAAAATGATAAATAAAAAAATATTTAAGAATCATAAATAAGATATATAGAAATATAAAGACCAAATTGTAAATAAAAAGTCAAAAAGATGAAACTTCAAATTTTAAATTTTGAAAAACGAAGTTTATTTGAAGTTTAATTTTTCAGAACAATAAACTCTATATTTAAGTTATAAATAGTCTTTTGGAGATACTCTTACATCTCATAACTCAAACAAGGTTTATAATACTTTATACAATTGTACTGTTTAGGGCATCCACAATAGAAAGTTTCCAACATGAATTTCTCATA